TGAGAGCCCATCAGGCTCCAGAGTGGAAGCAGGACCCCCTCCCACCAGCCCTTCACGCTCCCCCAGGACAGCCCGGCTTGGGTGAAGGTCTCACCTGGCCCATCAGCAGAGGCCCAACTGTGTTGGTGGTGTAAGTCTCGGTCATGTTCTCTGGTGTCTCGTTTTCAAGCAAGGTTATCTTGGCAATTCCAGCATTGTTGATGAGAAGGTTCAGCCCAGAGCCCCCCACGTGCTCCCTGACCGTGGTTGCAGCTGTGTTGATGCTGGCAGGGCTGGCAACTTCTGCAGAGCCGATATAGGGGAGGTCAGTGTCCCTGTGGTGGCTTGGGGTGTCCTGTTTTCCCCCAGGGACATGCTTCAGGGCTGGTCATAGGCAGGAGCTTTGGTAGCGCACGATGGCCCCACAAGCACCAGCCCATTGGCACGGCTCCCTCCCAGCACAGGGACTGCCAGGGTGCGCCCAGTGCTTGGGCACTTGCCAGAGGAACTGGGGCACAGATTCCCCACCTCGGGGCACCTACCGAGTGGGACTATGACCAGGTTGGGGTGCTTGGAGGCCAAATTCTGTAACTCCTGCAAGAGAGGGCACTGTGTGGGCACAGAGAGGCAGGAGGGGCTGCACAGAGGCTCAGCTTTTCTCAGGCAAAGCCCATGTTGTTCTGGCTCCATCCCTGCACTGCTTTGTGCCCAACACCCTGGTCCAGCTGCCCTGCTCCCATCACATGGGGCTCTGTGCCTCCTGCATGTGCCATGTGCCACTGTTCCCATCAAACATCCCATGCACAGCTGCTCCCACGGTGTCCCAGCCCACCTGCCCTGTGCTGTGGGTGCCCAGCTGCAGCTCCAGCCCCTCACAAACCCCCTCCTCGCTCCAGTCTCTACCATGGCACTGAGTGCTCCCGTCCCCCAGCACAGCCACTGCCTCCCAGCCCAGTCTCACCTTTGCTCGCTGTCCCTTGGGGTCCCGACAGCCTGCAAAGACCCACTGGGGTGGGTTTGGCATCTTCAGGAAGTGCTGGACGAGCCCCAGGCCGATGCCCCTGTTGGCCCCAGTCACCAGAAGGGAGCGGACACGGAGCCCTGCCATGCTGCTCTGTCCTTGGCTGCACTGCTCTCACCCGGACTCTGCGGGTGCCTTTTGCTACTTGGTTATCTCACATGTTCCCATGAGGACTTGCACCAGCCCGTGGCTCTCGGAAATTGTCTGCCTGAACCTCAATCTCTTGGCTGTGGTCCATACCCATGATCCACTTTTCCCGGTGGCTGAGGAATGACGCAAAGGGAGCCAAGTGTCCTGCCCAGGCAGGGAATGCCCTGGGCTAGATATCTAGAGTGCTGCTTTCTGTACCTTCCCTGCTCCTCCAAACCTGAGCTGCTCAGTTTTCAGGGCCAGCACTACTGTCCCTGCACTGAGATGCTCTCTCCCACCACCACCCTCCCTCTTGGGATCCCAGCCTCTGTCCCTCCCCTTGCCCAAGGTCAGGCAAGCAAGGCTGGATTTCCTGACCTGGCACAGCACAGTTTGTTGGCCTTAATTTGTGCAATGCCAAAGGCAGCGTTTGGAATGGAGCAGTCAGGACAGGCAAGTGTCCCTTTACCATAACAACAGGCTGAGAAACCTAGAAACCCCCCAGGACCACTGGGAAACCCTCCAGGGCAACCCAAACCTCCCCTGCAGGGAGGGACAGAGCATCTGATGGATGATGGCTGGATTGGACTCAGTGGTCTTTTCCACCCTAAATGATTCTCTGATTCTATGATCCCATGGCCTCCCCAGCTGGTTCCTGCTGCAGCATCACCCAAACTGCACAGACAGTTTGCAACAGCGGAATGTGTATATTTAAGATGGTTGGGAGATGTTGTGTAGGTCATTTAAGATTATCAGTAACCACAGATCCAGGAGCTGGTTGGGCAGGACTGGGAGGTGTAAGCTTGGGGACTCTCTCCTGCTCCAGCTGAAGATGCTGCTACGAGGACCTTTGCAACTAGACAATGACCAGCAGTCGTGTTCAGAAGATCTGATCCTCCACCCGCGTGCTGCCTCACGCAACCATCTCAATAAATTAGCTTTTGTCTGCAAGAGCAAACCCTGCTCCCTACTCTTGTGTGTGTGTGTGGTGGGTTGACCCTGGCGGGATGCCAGGCATTCACCAAAGCCGCTCTATCACTCCCCTCCGCAACCGGGCAGGGGAGAAAAAAAATATAACAAAGGTTCACGAGTTGAGATAAGGGGCGGGACAGATCACTCACTGAATACCACTGCAGGCAAAACAGACTTGAGTTGGGGATATTAACTGAATTTATTACTAACAAAATCAGAGCAAGATAATGGGATGTAAACTAAATCTTAAAAACACCTTCCCCCCACCCCTCCCTCCTTCCCAGTTCTACCTCCTCCCCTCCAGTGGCACAGGGAGACAGGGAATGGAGGTTACGGTCTGGCCATCACATGTTCCTGATGCTGCTCAGGGAGAAGGGTCCCTCCCTTGCTCCAGCATGGGGTCCCTCCCATGGGAGACAGTCCTCCATGAATTTCCCCAGCGTGAGTCCATCCCACGGGCAACAGTTCTCCACGAACTGCTGCGACGTGGGTCACTCTTCCACAGGGTGCAGTCCTTCAGGCATTGGCTGCTCCAATGTGGGTCCCTCCACTGGGTCACAAGTCCAGGAAACCTGCTCCAGCATGGGCTCCTCTCTCCATGGGTCTTCAGGTCCCTGCCAGGATCCTGCTCCAGCATGGGTTTCCCACAGGTTCACAGACCCCTTTTGAGCATCCACCTGCTCTGGCGTGGGCTCCTCCACGGGCTGCAGGGGGGGGTCTCTGCACCCCCACTGACCTCCATGGGCTGCAGGGGCAGAGCTGCCCCACCATGGTCTGCACCACAGGCTGCAGAGGAATCTCCACTGCGGCGCCTGGAGCACCTCCTCCCCCTCCTTCTGCACTGACCTTGGTGTCTGCACTGTTGTTCCTCTCGCATATTCTCACCCTGCTCTTCTCTGGCTGCAATTACACCTCTGCAGTAACACTGGGTTTTTTTCTTCTTAAATATGTTGTCCCAGAGGCGTCACTATCATTCCTGATTGGCCCAGCCAGCACCTTCTCACAGAAGCCACCCCTGTAGCCCCCCCGCTGCCAAAACCTGTCCATGCAAACCCCACACAGTGTGGCACTGATCCGTCCTGTTGTGCCATTTCACTGCACTCACACCAACCCACTGATGCAGCCCCAGCCTCTGGCATGGGGATGAAAAGGCACCAACCACATCGAGCCACAACTGAACTGGGCTAGAGGAAGAATCTGCCACCCCTTCAGCCCGAACATTTCCCAGTTTGCTTGGCATATTTTATCAGGTAAGGGGCTTTAATGCCTTAAGAGGAGGTAAAGGATGTGCAAGCCTGTTGTAGAAGGATGCTTCTTCCCCTGGGCAACCACCTGGTGAGACCCTGCGACTCCTTGGAGCTCCTTGGACTCCTTGGAGTCAAAACTGAAGGAAAGAGCATCAAAACAAGGCAAGGTTCCAGGGATGGTTTGGCATTACATGTGCACCACTGAATGGGAAATGGTACCAGAAAGTCGGCAAGAAAATGGGTAATCCTGGAAAGGTTTGCATTGGAAGGGACCTTAAAGCTCACCCTGTTCACCCCCCTGCCAGAGGCAGAGACACTTTCCACTATCCCAGGTTGCTCCAAGCCCATCCAACCTGGCCTTGGACACTTCCAGGGATGGGGCAGCCACACCTTCTCTGGACAACCTGTGCCAGGGCCTCCCCACTCTCACAGGGAAGGATTTCTTCCTAATATGCAATCTAATTCTGCCCCCTGGCAGTTTCACGACATCCCCCTTCGTCCTGTCACTCCATGCCCTTGTCCAAAGTCCCTCTCCAGCTCTCTTGCGGGCCTTTCAGGTACCGGAAGGTGCTCCATGGTATCCACGGATCCTCCTCTTCTACAAGGGCACATGAACGCCGAGGAAAAGCGCCGGGGGTAGGGCAGGGAAGGGGAGCGGGAGGGGGATGCGGAAGGGCCGGAGCTGGGATGGCTCCCGCGGCCG